ACATACATACATACATACATACATACATACATACATACATACATACATACATACATACATACATACATACATACATACATACATACATACATACATACATACATACATACATATATATACTCCAGATCTACAAAGTTTAAGAGGTTCATATCTGGCAAAGATCACACCATTTCATAAGTCGTAGAGAAATCAAAAGACGAAAGAGGCGATTCAATCAACGGAGAAGAAATTAGAGGACCCATCTCGGGCGTCACCACGAGAAGATGGTGAACAGTAACTCGATGTTCAAAGGCTTTGGTTGAGAAGATGGAGCAATGAACATCCAAAATTTCAATCACAATGTTGTGCGGAAAAATGAATAATACAAGATGGTGAAATATTCAAAAGAAGATAGGGAAGAACTTCACATGAACAAAGGTCAAGCAATGGAGTTTGACACTGTTCAGTGTGCACCATGTATTCTCTAGAGCTAGCTTTTACTCAAACCAGACTTTCATAGTGAAATTTTTAAGATAGTGATACGGAGTAAATTACTAGCAAGAGTAGGGTAGCTGTTTGCATAGATTATTCTTATTTAAAAAGGAAAGTGGACAAATATTGTGGGACGGAGGGAGTAATAATAATAATAATAATAAGTTATAGAAAATTAATAATTATAATAATAATAACTAAATAAATATTAAACCCTGATCCATAACATACCTCTACCTATTAAAGGTGGAGAGGCTGTTGTAAAAAGGCCCCCGGTTCGAGATAAAAAAGAAAACGCATTAGCACTCATTTTGGAAGAGAAAAAAGAGACAAACCTTTATATTAAACTGCATGCATAAGGTGCGATATTTCATAATGCTTGTCATATCTTCCATTTCATAGTATATTGTTACATATAACGAAACATTTCCAGGAGCTGCAGCTCTAAGCCAGAGATTCCACAAGGAAGGTGATCCCTCAACAATTACCATATCCTGAAAAACAAAGTTGTAAAGTCACAAATTGAAGCTTGTGCATCTTTTAGGAACTGATTCTAAAAAGCAGTTTAAGATTGACCTCTGGAAACAGAAAAACAGCATCTGATGCTTTAGCGGTCTTTGATTGGATGTGATTTTGAGTAGACTGAGTCTCCTTCTCCAACCAAGCGGGAAATTCGATATGCGTAGCTTCATTATGACCTATTTGTAGAAATCTTGGAGGGCTGGCTTTCATCTTTAAATTCTGTCATAACATATGCAGTGTAGACATAAGAAACAAGAATCAAGAAGATTTATATACAATGAATTAATGGAACTACAAGAGACAATTTTACCATGCCTTAGCTTCGGATAAATAATGGACTAAATCAAAATGGCACATTAAACTTTACTTGCTTCTTACTTTTTATGATGCTTTGGGAAATAAATGCAGCAAACCATCAAGGGTCTGATGGAAAAATCTTTTTTTACAAGGGTAAGGTTGTGTACATCTTGACCCCCCTAGATTCCAACGGTGTTGGAATTATACTCGGTATGCTGTTGTTGTGGCATCAACATACATATGCTTTAATGTTATATCAAAAGCTCAGCGCATTCACATTATAGTTGACACAAACATTATACTAGCATGCACATCTCTAAAAGAAAACCTATTCCTTTGACCTTTTCAAAAGTGTTTTATAAGGTCATACCTTCACGGGAATTTCACATGAATTCCTCAACTCCAAAGTGATAGGCCTCAAATCTCCCGCATAAGCTGTTTTAGGTAGCTGGTGAATGAAGGCTTGAAGTTTGGGTAAACTCTGCATATTGAGCAGTATTTCCAAAATGTAAATGCTTGTAATAGACATCTTGGATTAGATACAGTATGTGTTGCCATTGATAACATATGCATTTGGCATAGCAGAGAATGAGGCAGAACCTTGATCACTAAGAATTGCAGATTATCAGTCAAACACTTAGATTTTGTTTTAGATCTTCCAACTCTTTTTCTGGCTAAATCAGTATTAAATTCAAGAAATCCAGCTACAGAACCAGACAACTTCCATCGCACGCCCACTATTCTCAAAGTGCCTTCTCTTTTGGGAGTAACACTCAGTTGTACCTGATGATTTCAATAAAAAAGGACTATTTAGCGGTGGATACTCGTGTGCAATAAGATACTCATAATTTGGCAGTACATGCATTATTCAAAAATATATCTAGTTAGGCTCGACGTGAGTGCATGACACATGATATATACACAGTAGAAAACCAAAGAGAAAACCAACTAATATTCAAGAGCGAGATCAAATGATGCAAAACTGATGGATGCCTCCTTTCGTTTCTGGTTGATAAAATATTACTAGTTTTTTTGATAAAATATTAGTTTTAGTTGTTCCTTGATATGTAAGCGCTTTGGAGTTAAAAAGGAGTCAGGATAGAACAAAAATGACATGGCCTGAGGGTGTAAACAAGGAGTCAAGGACATTAGTTTTGGGGCTTAATTAACACGTGGTGAATGGCATAGAAGAGTGAAAATGAAAATATTGGTGATGGCCTTGGACATTTGAGATTAACAATAAGGTTGTTGCTGCTGTTATATTACATATACTCCCACCATCCCGTAAGTAAGGTCAAGAATGGAAAACATCAAAGATTAAGGCAAATTCGATGTGATGTGGTTGAAGTAGGAGAAAAAGTGTAAAAGTGATTGAAAAATGTAGGGATAGTAGGCTAATTGAATGAAAAAAAGGTAGAATTTAGTAGGTCTGATTAAGAGAGAGAGTGTTAAAGTGATTGAAAAGGTAGAGTAGGTTATGTTAAAAAAAGGAATTGCGACTTTACTTTTGGGACGCCTGATATGGAAAGTTTGACATTGCTTATGGGACGGAGGGAGTAATCACTATTCTTAGCAGTTGATGAGTCATAATCAGTAAAACTTCTTTCTTATAAATTATTTTATCAAAGCCCAGATTAATAGCCTAAAATTCAGAGCCAAAGACCTTGTGGTCCAGTGGCATCAAGGTGACTCTCCCAAATGGGAGGTCACTGTTTCGAACCCTAGTGGGGGCAGTAACTCTGTGTGCTTTAATAGGTTGAGAAAGCATGAAAAGATAATACATTGTAATGGAGTTATTAGTGTTCAAAAAAATTCAGATTTATTGTAATAAATATTAGGGAATAACTCTCTTATTAGTTATTGATGAATAACTAACCACTGTAGTTTCACCTCCTCCAAGCACAATGTCAACCTCAGACAATGTATATGAAGGTGTATCAGAGTTGAAGTCCCTGAGTCATTCATCAACATTTGCAATAATCATAATTAGTGCACAACTGAAATCAGCATCAATAAGCAGAGCAGATACAGAAATATTTAAACATACAAACATGCATTAAGAAGGGTTATATCTACATACCCACTAACCACTGCGATGGTGGATTCCTTGGCATACTGATTACTATTTAAATTTGTTGCATCTGCACTATCCAATAATGTATTGTGTGTTGAATCATAGATGCATTAGAGTACATCATGAAGGGAGAAATAAAGAAACTAATTCAAGCACTATGCGTTATCCCATTTCTCGAAAGGGACGCATTACTTGTAATATAAAATACTTTAATATGCTACCAAATAAATTTAATAGCACAAGATGTATCCTTTGAAGATATAGCATATGGTAGGGTGTCACATGCTTTATGAGGTTAAATGCGAGCACATATGGGGACAACGCATTCATAAAGCATGTTGGCAAAGTGGCGAATCAGTATGTAGTATTTCCAAACATGCATACCATGCATATACATGTGTGTGTAAAAAAATGCTCCTTGGGTAAAAATGGGAATGTTTATGGTGCATTTGATTGAAGTAGATGAAAGGGCTCAAAAGATGCAAGAGAAAAAACTTAAAAACCTGAAAGTGCTACTTCCACCACCATGATCATTAGGAAAGTGCACATCATTTTACTAAAAAGTGCACACTTTCAGGCTGTTTGCACTCAAACCAGACCCTGTATTGTGTGTGTGTGTGTGTGTGTGTGTGTGTTATTTCTTTGTATAAACTATAAAGTGATCCTAGTGCCTTACCAGGGGTAGCTGCGTCACTTTTCACAGTGTGTACACAGATCAGAGAAACATTGGACACTGGAATAGGTATCTGAAGTGGGTTTTTGAATTCAATGTCTACCTTAATGGCCTCTGTAAATCATGAAACAAAATTGAGAAAATATATAAGGTCATGTTATAGATGCATAAACCCAAAAAAATATAGACTAATGAAATGCACATTTTACTAAAATGAAATTGAGAAAAAATAGCCATGTTAAAGATGCATAAATGAGAAAAAACATAGAATAATGTGCTGCACACTTTACTGAAATATATTACTCCCTCGGTTTCACAAAAGAGTTCCGTTTTTTACTTTATGGCAAATTTAAGGAGTATATGTTTTGTAGTTGATTTTCCAATTTTTCCCTTGGATATGATGCGTGAAAGTAGGATGCGATGAGTAGATCAATAGTAAATAGATATGATGTGATAGGTTGCGTAAGGGTTAGTAAGGGTAAACAGACTTTTTGATGGAAAGTGGAAGTGTTTTATGGGAAGAGTGAAAAGTAAAAGTGGAATTGTTTTTTGAAATGGGGGGAGTAAAATAAGATTCGCCATCATGAATACCTATATTTTATTTTAAAATAAAAAACTTAAGTGGAAAGCAACAATTGCATAAGAGCTGTTATCAACTGCAGTACTGCACAAACTGCTATATTCTAGTGCTGATTCCGAAATTCAAAAAGATCCAACAATGAATCATATGAAACTGACCCTTGCCCCAACCACACAACCCTTAGTTGTACTATATTCTTTAGTCGCCATGTGTTTACATGTGGCCTGTGAGGAGTGGGGGGTACATAAAGATTGAATTTTTATAGAGGTTCGGGTTATAGTTTTTTTTTCTAATAACAAATAAAGACCTAAAAGTAGCAACTTATTATAAATAACAAAAATCCCATACAACTCACAGTAGAAAAATGATTGTGTAGTGTGTGATTGTCATATTCTCAATTCTAAACCTGCAAGTGTAGAAGCCTTCATAAGGAAAATGCAATAATCTCTTGAGATTTTTACAATACAAAGGTACAGTTTCTTTGTAAAAGGCCGGGCCCTATAAGATTTTAACATTATATCTTTAACACCCTCCATCCTAAAACCTTCTTCCCAATTACTATTCGTACAATCAAGCATGATTCACTTTCTTTGCCTAGTATTATTAATCATTTCATGATAAAATAATATAATCATGTCACATCTTGTTTTGTAGATCTTTTGATGTAGTTTTTAAATATATTAATTCAATTTTTAAATTTTACACTTATAATTATATAAATTCAATTGAAAAAAAACTTCAGTCAAACCTCATAAACTGAAATAGGAAGAAAGTTTTAGTCCAGAGGGGGTCCTGGATAGAGAATTTACTGTGTGTGTATTTAAAATGAGGGGTTTTAGTGCCAGAGTAACTTATGGTCATTGTGAGTTAAGTATGACAAAGACAGACAACTTGCTGTATCCAACATTCCAACCTGATTTTCATTAAATAGGTAGACACCTCAAAAACTCCAACAATTACCAGACTCCATGTAAAGTGTACAACAAAAAATCAAATATAATCTCAATTCCATTAGGGTCTAGGGGGGTCAAAACTCAAGATGTACGTAACCTTAACCCAGTAAAAAGCAGAGAGGCTTCCGTTAGACCACCGACGCATTGTTGTATCTACTTCCCAAAACTTCATAGAAAATAAGATGCAAGAAAACTCTAATGTGTCAATTGTATTTAGTCCTTTATTACACGGAGGCCGGAGCTAAGACATTGTAAAAATTGAGACATATTTGTTCTATTGAAATGGACATAATGAAGGTAAAGTCCCAAGAAAGACTATAATATCAAACAACTTATATAAGTTTTACCTCCAGCAACACAGATATTTGAATCTTTACACTTCTTTGGCAAAATTTTGGACTGCAACTCCAACCAGTTGCTCTTACTTGTGGAGAATGTTGGAATCATTTCCTCCTCCAGGGACTGCCACACACTTTCCTTGACAATGGCCTAGAGGTTTGGAAAAAACAAATAGAAAAAAATTAATGTAGAATATATTTGAAGTGCTAGGTGTCAATTGGCAAAGAATAAATAACCATCTCGAAATGTGTGAATGGGCACGTATGAAGATGATACCAGAGTCACCAATTAGGCAATAAAGAGATAAAAAGCTCTCTAAATTGTCAGAGTTGTAAACTGCTTAAACTTTAGAAGTAGGGTAAGCAATGAAATCAGGCAAAGTTTCTAGGGCAAAGGGGTATGCATGACACTGGTAGAGCTCTAAAAGAATATATAGGAACTCCAGTCCATTTACGTGATGCAATTCCCAAAGGTGTGCAGCTGAATTTGGGAGGGTTATGCATGACACTGGTAGAGCTCTAAAAGAATATGTAGGAACTCCAGTCCATTTAAGTGATGCAATTTACAAAGGTGTGCAGCTGAATTTAGGACATTTATTGGTGCATATGCAGGATGTGAAACCATTGTGTTTCTTGTTAGAGAAAAATTTAATTAGAACCATTAAATGTGGCACATAATTTGAAGAACAAGATTCAAAGTGTTATCTGGAAAAACAAATAAGGCATTTAAGAATAAGTGAATAACGTTCCAATATGCTTAGCAATAGATAATGCCACATCACATAGTGATTCTCTTTTTTTCCCATCTTCAAAATGAAATGAAATTTACGCAGGTCCCAAGTCCTTCACGACTCGGGAGCATCTAAAACTCTAGAAGTGCATGCAATATTTAAATGTTTTCAAATTTCCAGGAAATTTTTAACATTCCTTTGCAATGTGATCTGAGAAGCATAAATACTGAATATAATAATCTGGTAAGACCTTGTTATTATTTTGAGTGGGCAATGAGGAAAAAGAAAAAAACCACCAAAGACACCAAATATATGGGAGTGGTCATCAGGGTGAGAACCACCACCTGCAACTCATTCACACACAAACAACACATTCCTTCTACCTTCATAGCTCCTTCGTAGCATGTTGAATATTTAGATACTAAGGCTAAATGGATAGTGAGAGCCACCACCTCCCCTAGCAACACAAATGAGAGAAGAACCAGAAGCATAATAGGAAAGGACATAAATTCTGATCATATTAAGGCATGCACTAGATGTGTTTGTGTAGGAAATAAAGGACATTAATAACGAAAAGCGTGAATATGAGTTGTGAAATGAGCTGTAAAGTTAAAGAGGTGTGGTTGTGTGTAGCTGTTATCCTTATATTTCAATACACTCCCTCAAGCTGAAACTCCATAAGTTTCAAGCTTGGATTAATTAGATGGAACTTCAAGAAAATTTGAAGCACGCGCTTCAGGATTTCCAGATATTTGAACCAGGACAAAAGGAATTGCAAGGCATTTGAACTGAAGCCATACAGGACTTCGAGATAATAGATATTGAGTTGGGGACTTGGAGCCGAATGAGACAGTAAATATTTCCAATGAGTAGACTGAACTGCTTTTCTCAATGAACTACCTCAGTCCATTTGTTTTCTTTTTCTTCAGTAAATATGAAATGGGTTTGTGGCAAAGATGGAGGCTCACAGGAAAAACAAGTTTTGGAAAAAAAAGGTGGTATGGTGTGTGTCAGAACAGGGAGAGTGAAAATTTGACCACCTTCGTAAAAGAGGTTGCCTTTGACCAAAGAAAAGAAGATAATAATAGGACTAGGAAAACAGATTCCCATGTCCAAGTGAAGGTTCTGATTAGGTGAGCACGACCAAGAGAGAAAAGGTGAACTATATAAGAGAGTCTCATCGTAACAACATTAAAACTTTTGAGACTAAAAGGCAACAACCCATCTTCAAAACATAAGGAAACTAGCAACAACACTAATAAATTTATTGAAACCATCATTCAGATTGTGAGGCATTAATACTACGTGAGTATTTAAATATTAGGACTAGGCAGGTGGCAAGAGCCACCACATGCCGTGGCAGCCGAGGTGAGAGGAAAAATCAGAAGCAGAGAATAAACATTGGTTTGAATTAATTCTGATTTCTGATTACATTAAGGATTGCATTACATGTGTTTATATAGGAAATAAAGCAAAAGGCACTAGGAACCTAAAAGTATGGATATCAGTTGTAAATGAGCTTTAATGTTAATGAGGTCTATATGTGACTCTGTGTAGTTCTAATCCATAGATTTTAACATTCAATAATCACCAAAAAGATGTTTAACCAAGCAACAAGCCAATTGTGACACCACCAAATTGTAAATGCATAACCAAACACAACAAGATTAAGATTAGAAAAACAAGAGGTGTAAGATGAAAGGTCCCATTTTCTTACAGCTGCATGTGATGCATACGTGCGATGATCTTCAAACACAACTTGGATTGAAGGGATGTTGATCACAGGTAACTTAAGCGTCGGGACCTCAAATGTTTTCCCTGTTTTCTGTGTTATTTAATGAAAATTGAAAATAAAGAACACAATATTACTATTTTGATTCACAAATTCATAGAGTTTAAAATGTATGCATGAAAACCATATCATTATCAGTTGCTCTAGTTGTCTAGATAAGATATATATAAAGGGTAAGGCTGGACTATATTGCAAACATAAACAACATATACTTCTTATGTTCCAAAATAATTGCAACATTAGAATTTTCACACTTACCAATGCACAAATTCAAATCACTAATATCTTCAAGTATGTTTCAGTAAAAACTATCATAAATTGATATTATGAATTTTGTGATCGAGATGAGCCTAACAAGATCATAAATGATTATATTATTACTTACATATAGATCACAAAAGATAGACAAATGAGATTACGTGAATAAGATAATATTTTGGCCATTGCGATTACTTTAGAAGGAAGAAAGTATTTGAGATCAGAGGAGTTGTGCAAAAAATTGATTTAATGAAACCCCTATATCACACACTCTTTTCTACACCACGTGAGGTATGAAAACGTTTTAATCACTTGGATCTGCAATTCTTCTAATAGGGTGCTTCTATCTGCATCTCAAAAAGTGATTGTACTCTTCCAATGAACACTTAGGAACAGAACCAGTTTTATTAGAGCTGCTTGAGAGTTGAGAATAATTCAAAGGAGCACACTTTAATCAGTGTTAGACTCAATCGGGTTTGATCACATGTAACCGAATGGGTAGTGGCCAGTGAGTCAATGTTCGGGTCGGTTAGTATGGAGTCAGTTATTATATGGAGTCAATTAGTGTGTATTTCATATTTCATTAAACAGTTGTGGGTAGTGTTTGGTAGTTTATAGTCTGCATGCTGTGTTAGCTTGTAATAGTTGTGTTGGTTTGTTCTCTATTTATATCAAAGAACACAAAGAATCTAGGGTAGTTCCCCACAAAAAAAGTATTCTTTTACTTTGATCTGTTTTTTTCTCACAATTGGTATCAGAACGTTCTGACTGGCCAAAATGGTGTGTGTGGGACGAGATCGACCATATTGTAAAACAAAACATAAGCGACTTCCTCGACAACAGATCTTGAGTCTTCCACCGGATTTCTTCCTCACCTAGGACAAAGAACAACAAGTGGCTAGTTTTTTCTTTGGCAGAAGTAATCCAACCAAACATCGCTCGAAAGACAAATCAGCGGGGTAGCTTTTGTTTAGCGGCTTGGAAGACGGAAAAGTACTGGGCTTGTTTTCTGGTTGATGGTTGATTTCCGGTGGCGTACAACCTAGGAAGGAATCGAAGTTAAATATTGTGAAATTTGTCAAGGAAGAAAAGTTGTGCAATGGGAGACAACCAATACAGACAGATGGTGACTACAAGGGAGAATAGTTCACTATTGTTTCAGGTTCCAATTTTAACCACCACAAACTACACTATTTGGGCCGTGAAGGTCAAAACAATTTTCAATGCCAATACAATTTGGGGGGTAATCGAACCAGGAACAAAAACTGATCCAAAGAAGAACAATATGGCAATAGCATTTCTGTTTCAAGCTTTTCCAGAAGAGATCGTGTTATAAGTTGCTCAATTTACCGAAGCTAAAGAAATTTGGGAACCTTGACTCGCTTTGTTGGTGTTGACAGGGTTAAGGAGGCGCAACTATTGACACTCAAATAAGATTTTGAGTTTCTTAAGATGAAGAACAATGAGTCACTTTATGACTTTGCTGGTAAAATTAGCAAACTTGCATTACAAGCAAGCAATCTTGGATCTACATTTGAGAGACATTGGTTCGAAAGCTTTTGGGTTCTGTGACAGAAAAGTTTATTCAGATTGTTGCTGCAATTGAACAATTGCCGACCATAACACAATGCCGTTCCACGTTTTGAACATAGGGGTCAGGCTGCGTACATCTGACCCCCTGACCCCGCAATGGGCGGGAGCCTTTGAGAATTGAGGCACAGGGTAATGTTGGTGTTGTTGTTGTAAGGTTGTGTACATGTTGACCCTAGATGCCAACAAAGATGAGAATATACCGGGTTTGTTGTTTTAAAATAAAATACATCTTATCATAGACCTCATACTTCTGGTTATTTAACACGAGAATTACTTTAAAATGACATGTTCATAAACACTTCACAGTGATTTTATATTTCGTACCCCACGAGTAATGACAAACACTCAAAAATGATATTGTATGGCACTATAGCTTCAAATTCTTATTCCAATTCTGATTATAAAGAAGAATGAAAATCAGAATTGAAATCAAACCCCCCACCCTCAATGTCATCATGTTATAATCTATGTGAAGAATGATTCTAGTAGTTATACTAACCAAGTCCATTCTCCTTCTAACCATGTTAATAAATATTAGAGCCTGATGCAACATTAGCGGGCAGTGCATTTCACAATATATTTGGTATGATGGAAATTAAAATCTAGTTCTACTTAACATAATGCTAATCTAGTTGACTAGTTCAGAGATGTTCCAACAGGACCTTGCACTAAAACTACTAGAGAAGATAAGCAGTAATTACCTGAACTATTTGAAAGAAATCCATGAGAAATAACTCTTGTGTTGTCTTGGATTGATGACCACACAGTAGGACTTCTAGCATGTTTTTAATTGACACGTCATATACCCCCAGGAAAGCAAACCACCTGAGACCAGGAGGGGGATATTAACTACTAAAACATAAACTGTAGTAAATCAAACGATAAATAAGAGTCGATTCTTTCGAAGATTAGAGAGCAAACTAGAGATAATATACTGCTGGAGAAATAGGCGAAAACTAGCATAAGGATATGATTTGTATAAGAGATGTCTCAGAAGCTTACTTTCCTATGTAGAAATGAACATGATCTCTAATGTGACACCAGGAAGTTCCTTGAAAAACAGAAAGAGCACATCGGTATGTTCGAATTGCATGTTTTATCTGGTAAAGGAGAAAGTTAATATATTAATACACTTCCACATCTACCAATGGGTGCAAACATCAAATTATATATACACACGAAAAGATGAGAGACGAAACCTGATCACATTTCTTGTACAGATCTCCAGAAAGAATAAGATGGAAACCATATTTACGTAGCATTGGTGGAGTGCAAAACAAGTAACAATAAGATGACTGCTCGAGCATTACAGCTGAATGCAGAGGTTCCTAAATAGAATGCCTTCAGAAAAGAAAAAAACAACACATCTTGTTATGATATTGGTATAAACTGGGCATTACCTCACCAGAGAGTCGAATGTAAACACTGGCAGCCTCTTTATACTCATCTCTTGATTTTAACATTTCAATCCACCACAGACCACACCGTGTAGCATTCCTTTGACCTGCTGGCCCGAGTTTCTGGGAAATCATTAAAATTAGATATCCACATCATGTTAGAAAACCAAGGCAGAAAAATATTGGATTAATGTTAGATAGTATGCCTTGAAGATGTGTGTTTTAATGTTATTGTCATGAAAACAGTAACTGGTTCTCACATGCTTTAAATTAAGAGCTATTAAACTTTTCATAAAAAAGAATATTCATTCCTGTGTGGCTACAATGATCCCAAAGGAAGAAAGGAAGCTAACTGCACACAAAGGAACTCTACGTACCATCTACAGTTCTACATTATCCATTCTTAAGATAAAACAAAAGAAACTTCAAATACTTTTTGTTCTTTTCTAAACAGGGAGATATATCCACTTCGGTCTATATGTCATATTTCACATCTCCAATTCAGAGTTTATATAGTCACGAGGCACAATTCCCACGGGTAATCTGATTATAACATTTTCCAGATAACAAGGTGTCAGTGATTTGCTTGTTACAAACTTACAGTACTTAAATTAGAAAGAAATCGGCAGCCTGCTTGGCTCAAGGCCTAGTTCTGTTCCAAACTGTAAGTTTTATCCCATTATATAATATTGTATATCTGTATCATAATACTTGTCGTTTCTATTGTTTCAACATAGTGGACAGTAAAATTAAGAGTATGAGGAGAGTGCTGCTCATAAGTGTACTTTACAGAATAATTTGTCAATATTCAAACCATAAAGGAGAGAGCAGCATACAATATAAGTAGTTAATGCATTCTCCATGCAATATTCGGCATCCTTTTTTGATTGATCTAACATGAAGTAAGTCAATCCCATCATCTCCTGCAATATGATATAAAGAGAACAATTTGGAAAAATGAGGATACATAAGCAAAAATAGCTATTATAAACGGATGGTTATGCAAAAGAGTTAATGCTAAGAGTTCAATAGTTAAAAATTAATGTATGGTAGATAGGAACTTGTCAGGTACATGAATACCTAGGGATGTACTCTTTAACATTCAATCAAGACTCTTAGTGAAATGAGAAATGTTGTGTTACGTTTCCCTAGCCTTTGGAATTGGAATGAAAATGAATAAATGAATGATAAGTATGCAAATAGTTATATAACTGGAGCCTTTTTCCATCTTTTATAAGGGAATATAACAAAGAAGGAATGAATACTGTTCTGAAATATTGCTCTGGAAGTAAAACACAAGCATGCATTTATAAAGTGTAATGCATGCTAAGTCATAGTAAAAATTTTGGACCCAAGTTTTGTTTATGGTTATGAATACATTACAGGTTGAATACCTCTAGGCTTTACAAATATTATCTAGCAATCCTCCAAATTCCAAAGTTGGAGCTTATGTATTTAGCATGCGCAATGTGTAACAAAGCTAATCAACCCGAGTTCTACAAAGTGCTTTAGTGAAATACCATATTTTGCTTCTTACTTTTCTATGACACTAGATTCCCAACAGCAAAGGCACAATAGATTGTTATAGAACATTGATCACCTATAGAGAATATGCAATAAGCATCCGCAAAGCGATCTACATTCACATATGCATAACTCTGAAAAACAATACCATGTCATGTGCTTCCATCATATAGCAAAAATTGACTTTACAGCAACCCAAAGATCAATTGTTGCAGATGACATATAGTCACTTACAATGCTGGTGTGTGAGGATAATAGTGTTCTATTCCTATTTCACGGAAAATCCTTTTGGCGCCACTTAAGATCAAAACTCTTACGTTCCTTTTATTACTCCCCATCACTTGTTAAGTGCAAATTATGAACCATGGGGTACTAAAGGATTTTTCTCTGACTTCCCCTATTTCATTTATTAGATCAAGCATATAATTTCTTTGGAGTAATCTTCTTTTCTTATTCCGTGTTACCTCAATGCCCAAAATGCAATTTAATGTGACAAGATCTATTGTTTGAAACTGGCTATGAATAAGTGGCTTGAGCAACAAAATAAGTACCTCAATACCCTCCCTTGAACTTATTTCCCTCTTCCTTTACTGTTTCACTTTGCTAATATGTGTTTTTTGTTCTCTTCTTTGAGTTCGGGGGGGAGGGGGGTTAATTCAGAAATTTCCTCTCTACTTTTTCAATAGGGTATGGTCTACGCACGCCTACCTTCCCCAGACTCCACTCATAAAATTCTACTTGGGTTGTGTTGTTGAGGACTTGAGGTGGGCACCCAATTATTATTATTAAGTACGGAGTATAATGTATACAACTACGCAAAATACTGGTATGTTTCTGTTAGCAAATGTGGAAGTATTTGAGAATGATATACATCAAATGTAGGGTTAACTGAACCAAAAAGCATAGCTACAGATGGAGTACTCCCTCTGTCCCAAATTAAGGTTTCAAAATTGACAAGGCACGGTTATCAAAATGGTGCAATTGTGTTGTTGATTTTGTGCAGAAGAGTAAGAAATTGTAAGAGCCACACGTTTCCTTCTTCAAAAGGAAAGTGAAATCTTTATTTTGAGACGAACAGAAAAGAGGTATTGAACCTTTTCATGGGACAAAAGAATTATTAAAAAGTTAAATGTTTTAAAATAATTATTTTTTTAAAAACAAAATGGTTTTTTGTTTTTTAAAATGAAAATTCAGAATGATATCAAACATGTCCTGAGATTCTTTATTTAAATACTTCAGTTTCGGGTAATTGTGTACCATGTGCACCGACTTCTTGCAATAATTACATGATAAAGACAAAATCCATATTGTTTCCATACGGAGTATATTGTTCACTGGATGTAATACAAAGGCATGGCATTCATGAGGTGTAAAGTATGCCACAAGTCCACAACATGGTAATTGGTAAAAGGACTTGGTCATACGTCTTGTTTACAGCTGTGAATACTTAATTCAAAAAACACTCAAAGTTCAGGTACCTCGGTTGAAATTTACCCATATTTCAACAGGTTGAATAGCTTTAGGCTTTAGAGGGGATTACAGCTATTATCTAACAATCTTCAATTGCACTTGGGCTTATAGGGTGTTTGGCATTTACATCACAGTAAACAGTAACTCGAGCAAGTACATTGCATCATATTAATGCCATGGCTCATAACACTGTGATTTACAACACACCAATAGATAATAAAATGATTAACAAGTACGAAATTACTTTGCATAGTTGCAATCCACATAAGTAATATCAAGATCTACCTGAACTCCAGCATAGTGTTTCCATGCCTTATCAAGCTTATAATCTGTGGAGAGTAAACGATAGTTTGACAATGCAAGTTCATAATCATGCAGCATGAAAGCATAGTCACCAAGAACCCTAATTTGTGATTCGATGGAGCTGAAAGTATACCTGTCACACAATCACACAAATGATATCAGTCATGACTCATGAGTAAAGATGCTTGAAAAAAAGAAAAAGGAGCTCAAGGCTATTTCCCTTCCAAGAGGGAGGGCGTAAGACTCTGGGCATAAGGAGGCACACACTTTTAGAGTGTAAGCGGTCCTCGAGATGCATTCCTTCCAAGGGGAGAAGACTAAAGTTTCTAGAAGTGTCTCCCTTTTTTACTTTGTACTGTGTATTAATTAAATTTATGGACCAATTTAGGTACCCTGAATAACCTAAATATCATTTTTTTCAATTTAAAAAATAAAACCTAAGTCAAAGGACATCCTGGTGCCTTAACTCCCTAAACTTAACTCATTCATGATATGCAGCCAGTGGCAAGCAAAGGAGCCTGAAATTAACTCCAACTTTTCATTTTTTTTATTTTTTTTCTTTTTTGAACACTTCATTTTTTTATCTATTGTTATGCTAATTGAAGAAAGAAGTCCTTCAATTTACTGTTGTATGCTAATTGAAGAAAAACTTCAATCTTCAATCCATGTTAATCCCTACCCAAAAAAATCTACACCAACTCTCCATCTCAATCGCAATATTTAATTATTTTATTAAAAAAATTGCAGATCCATGGCAAGAATTTTCATATTTATTTTTAAGATCCATGGATGACATGGATGATGCAGTACAAGGTGTTGCTGGTGGGGTGAGCAAGGGAGGGAATGGCGGTGGCACCACCGGCACAGGTGGTGGCTGACATCTCTAATTTTTAAGATGAAGACTTGGTTTATACTTTATAGTGAAGGATAAATATGACTTTTCACATTTGGTAAAAATTCACTGACAAAATGGAGTGAATTTAGTGTTCTAATGGGGTGTGACTATCACCATCCATTTTCAAAACCATGTGTACAAAGAAAAAGAAAATCAGTATGACACAATCATGCAGCAAAGTAGTCTAATTATAACCATACATTGGGCCACTCTGATTTTCAGTAGTGTCGTCCTTCCCTTTTCTCCACCACAAATTTTTTATTTGGTTCCTGAAACCTTTTCTTGTTGCAGAAACCTGTGGTATTAAAACAACATCCCAAAAAGGATAGTAGAATGCTCTGTTGGAGTTAGTTAAAACATCTTGCACTGTCTATGAAATCAGAGGTTATCAAGAAGTACCTGTTGATTCAGATAACGAACTTTTTGTTCCATGTGAGGGATGATATGTTTGGATGACAGCTCGTGCATAATATTTTTCAGCTACATATTCAAAAGGTTTACATTGCAATGATGACACTTGCCAAAAGTGTTTGGTTTCACGCTGATTATACATGTGTCGGTAGACAAGCCTTTATCTTTAAGACATTATCGCAATGCCTATAAGAATTAAAAATAGACAGAGTATAGATGGTACCTCCTCTATGTCATCGTGGCTGAGAAAACAGCCTAATTTTTTGCTACTTGGGGCATCATTTTTCTGTTAGAGAGAACACTGGCATTAATAAGTCTCCCCTAGAAGCAAATGTTATAGCACATTGCTATATATATGTCAAACAAAATGAGATGTATTTAGCCTTAATCAACTTACGCTAGAACCCCATAAATTTTCTTGATGGTCCTCTTGCCCATTAGATGAAGAATTAATGCACAACAAATGGCAATCATTTGCCCCAAATGCGCTCTTCATGTCTGCCAGAATTTTGGTTGCTCTGCAAAGAGACATGGGTAAATACAGCCATCATTGTGCAGCATGAGGCTGCATTCAACGAATAAAAGTGCAATTGCCGCAAAAGATAACTCATGCATCAGAAACAGTGTTGTTAATGACATTTGAGATGCAATGATTAACACCAAATTTTCAGTTGTAATCTTTAAAAAGGTTGCATTGCAAATAGCAATCAAAGAGTGGGCCAAGGGGCACACTCTTGAATGCATCAACAAATAGTAAAAGAAATATTGATACTTTTTGTTCATCCCTTTTTAGGTATCCCATTCCCATAAAGTTAACAAAGGTTGAGTCAAGTTTTTTTTTTTTGCACCATTTGAATTAGTAATAGTGAATATAACAACAACCAAGCCTCGATCCCAAGTTTTCTGAACCAATATAAAATTGATATGGGCTGCTCTTAAGCGGGACATGCGTGATGAGGAACAAAGATGATGAATGAAAGCTGTAAAGATAAAGAATTACTCGATCTTAAGTGGGTTCATTCTTGGCCATGCCGAAGGCACGGATGAATTAACACTAAGGGTGTGTTTGGTGAATAAAACAGATAAGGATTTCAATATCTAAGATCTCAAGTTTCAAAAAAAGATGTTTGGTGAAAAAATGGATCCAATATTGAAATCAGGAGATATGGGATATCTTCAAAAGTGGAGGGACTCCATATCGGCTTCATTTGGCTGACTTCAAGATGCTCACATTCATATCAGCATTAGTGATTTGGTGTACAAAGGCCATGTTTGGGAAATCGTTGTTGAGACAGCCTTTGGCTGATTGACTAATCAAAAAGCCAATATGGTCAAATCATCCAGAAAAGAAATGTTTGGATGGTCGCTCTTTAATTTGGCACTTTGTGAGTTTGTTCCCCGCGGCTAATATTTGAAAAGCCCACTATAGGAGTGTTTCAACTTGGCCTTTTCCCTGTGTTCTTGTTTTGCCCCTGCCATTCCAAATTTTAAAAAAAATCCCTTCATTTTTATAGCACAATTCCCTTCATAATTATACTGACTTGCTCTCTCCATTCTCTCTCTAGCCCATCTTCTTCCCAATTCATTCTTTTCACATAAATCTCTATTTTTATATATTAAAAAATTAAATCCAAATTTCTTTAAAATAAAAGGTGATATGATTATTATTTTGCGAAATCACCAGTGCTAATACGTATAGAAAATGAATATATGTGAAAATAACTTCATTAAATTTTTACCAAAATCACCAAGTTGTGAAAATTGCCAATTTTATTATCATAATTTTTAAAACTAAATTAATTAAAAAAACACATTAATTAAAATATATGAAAGCATGTCTAAAAATATGGAAGCATGTCTAAAAATGTAATTTTCACTTCAAACACCTGTTTATGAACAACTAAATTTACCAAACAATTTTTTCTTAATGGCTAGTATCATCAGCCAGTCAAAACAGCTAACTCAATCAGCCATTCAAACCAGCCAACGGAAACAGACAATCACCAAACAAGGCCAAAGTCAAACTTCTCTTCCTCATATTTTGCCCTTATATATTTCCATCATCTTTCCAATTTATTTGTTATAATTTATTTTCCAATTTTCTATCGCTATTTTCTAAAAGATTGAATCCAAAACTTTAAATTTTCTATTTTTGTGAACATATATTTATTTCTTTTTATTAATATTATAAATCCCAATAAAAAAGTGAGTCTCATTTTTCATTTCAGGATATCCCAATAAGATTTTTCCACTATTTCTTTAATATGGGATCGAAATATTACTTTTTTATCCAAACAATTTCTAAATTTTTACTTTTAACTATTCGATAAATTTTTTTAAAAAAACAGTCAAAAAAATAAAATAAAATAAAATTTGAAATTGGTTTTAATAAAATAAAATTAATATATTGTTTTTATAACAATAATTGTAACAAAAAATAAAATGAGAAATTAAAATTCCATTAACAATAATTAAATCATTTTAATTTAACATTTTAAATAAATTATATTTTTGCTCGTATAATATGTCTATAATAAAACATTATCCAACACTTACATTTGATTTCTTAATTGCTCACCAAACAGTTGTGACTGTTATTTGATTTCATTTCTATTTTTTAAAAACACTTGTTTCAAATTTCAGAAACCATATCATTTCTCTCACATTTCAAAACCGATATCTTATCCTATCTCCAAAACTCGCAAAACTGGCCCAAAAGTTATTGATGATTTTTCACCCCTATTTATGCTACTCCCAAGAGTCTTGGTGAGTAGGTCAATAGAGTCCTAATCTAATACAAAGTACAATAATGCTATCACGAATATAAACAAAAATAGATTAATAAAACTAATAGGAAACTATTACTACCAATACTGCCAATACTAGAAAGGACTAATTACTAGTAATAAGTATAGAAAAGTATTGGGTAACAACGCTCTTGAAGAGTATGACCAGATCGCAGAATGACTCAATGACATTGGATTATCAAAACAAGTAAAACTATTTTTTCATTGAGAGTTGAGACAATTATTTATACATAAAAGAGATTATCTTAAAGATAAGGAACCAGTAACTTACTTTTCTGGTGGGCCATCTTGGCAATCATGCACCAATATAAAATGCTTGAGAATATTTGGGTCCATGACACCATCATTCATGAGGGATGGAAACTGATTACTGTTGAAAAGGTCAACAAGTTTATTCAGATCCACATCTTTAGAAGAAGCCACCAAAAGACCTAATTATTTTCAAAAAATGCAAGCATGTCAGAAAATCAAAAGCAAACCACAAAGAAGTTTAATATGGAGTAACAGCACAAAAAAGATCAAACATCATTTCTAGATGGCAGAGAACAGGTAATGACAAGTGGGAGAGGGACAAAGAGAAGCTCAACAAACATGAGGGGAAAACTTACATGCCACCGGATGGTCAAAAGCTTCATGCTCTGAGAATGATACTGTGTGCACTAGCTCTCTGTTGAAAAACTGAAACCATGATGGTAGGAACTCAAGTTGAGAGGCTTCAGATGAGCATCAACAGGGAATCATTCCATAGGAATGCAACATATTATGTCAGAAACATCATCTTTTAAATCCAAAATAAATCATCAAAAAACTTATAGTTTCTAGTACAACAATCAAAATAAAAGAAATGAGTGACCAAGAGAAATCCACTTCAATTTGAAAACCAGAAAGATTCATTTCTTTGTGATGATTGTGCTTTTCAAAATCAATCCTTTATTATAATAGACAAGAAGAAGCCAGAACATACAAAGATTGGCTTTGACTTGGGACGCTATTACTAACTATGAGAAAACAATACATACAATTTATTATGGTCTCAATTTGTGGGGGATCTGTGCAGAAATCTGAATGATCTCTCTCCCCAGCATGAGTTATAACTTGCTTTAATCGCTCCTTTGCAGCCTAGTTAAGATAAATAAAATCTCACCAAATTACACAGATGATAATGAAGGCAACCCAATTCAGAAATCTTTTCAATGTCATAGGGTCCAAACAGAATAAAATAAGAGATAATCACTTGTTGTATTATACATTTCCAACTTTGAGGCAAGAAAAGTGACAATCAGAACAACAAGCATATCAGGATAAGGTAAGGACCATTGTTTAAATGAGGTAGTCATTTTAAAAAATAACACTTCCAGCTAGCTTCCATAAATAATGTCAGTGTGCTTGACATGAAAACCTAAATAATACTTCCTCCATTCCGAAATAATTGCGATGGTCAAAATGTTTTACTTTTCATACATTCTGTGTGACCATCTTTTGTGATCTATACGTAAGTAAAAAGATAGTCATGTGGGATCTTGTTAGATTCATTAAACTATTTATTATAATTTTTATTAAAATTTAGTTGTATATATTAATGATTTAATTTGTGCACTGGGCAAGCGTGAAAATTCTAATATTGTACTCTCTCCGTCCCACAAAACATTTCTTGTTTTGATTTTTAAGGGATTTAAGAGGAGTGTATTTTGGTGTTGACTTTCCAAAAAAGCCCTTGGATGTGATAGGTAAAACTGTAAAAGTAGATGTGATGGGTAGATTAGTAGTGAAAAAGTGTGATGTGATAGGTAGTTTAAGAATTAGTAGGGGTAAAAGTGACTTTTTAATAGAAATGAGAAAAGTTTTTTGGGACGGATGAAAAAAGAAAGGAGAAAGGTTTTGTGGGACGGAGGGAGTAATTGTTTTGGAAGGGAGGAAGTATAAAGTATAACTGAAGTTGAAAATACATTCTATGTTTGTTAAGGTTATCATAAACACATGTCCAAAAGGCGCTTGTCTAGCATTTAGTTAAGTTAACCCGGGCCTTATGATCACTTGGTGACATCTAAGCTATGAGAGATCATAACGTAGTAATAGCTTTTGTTGACAAATAGGACAAGTGTACAACAGCTTTGTCAAACTACAAGCTAATAAGCAGTTTCTCTAAATTAGGGATCACAATTTCTACCCAACTAAATGGATATCTGAACCACCATAATCGAGATGAAAACCCAAAAATATATGGATGATACATACATGATGGATTGGGTTGGATGCAAGTGAAAATATTTCACACCCATCACCCGACCCATCGATATATGTAAATATTCACTCTGGCCATAATTATCTTCCTACTTCTCTATTTGGGTTGTCTCCAAACTTTCTTTCACACTCTTTTTAAGAAAAAGATTGTGATACACATAATTTCTCTATCTCCTATACAAGTCACAACCACATAAGTTCTACATAAAAAAAATTGTTAATCGCTTGCAAGTTTTAAAAAACCCTACACATCTGTAACTTGAACTAAGGAATTAGTATAATACTGTAGTCATCTAGATAACTTACTGAGTTTCGGGATGGTGCCCAATTCCCCAATCTATTAGTTCTCTTCTAAAAAAACCCTAATATAATTCATTTTAAATTTTGTGGATGTCATTAAACTTCTATTTTTATTGGGTTTATTGCTTTATGAGAACTTCACACACTTTTATTGTCAAAAAAAATAAATGATTTAGTATTGTTATTATTTTTCCTTTCTAATAGTATAATGAAATACTATTAGTAATTTAAAAAATTATTACTATTTTCACCCATTTAACACTCATTTCAAAGGATGATGTATGGATCAGGTGACGGAGGGATAGTAAATGGATGGATGAGAGTGAAGCTTTGCCCGATCCAAACCTGACCCATTGACATCCCCAGTCTCAATGAAGCATGTGAAATTCATGGATAAGAGTGCAGGTTTGCACTAGTAAGAGTTTAACTGCTCCAACATTAATTCATCTAGTAATTTCCTCTTCCATCTAAGCTATTAGTTGTACCTCTACATTAGGCTGGCGAATATCTGAAGCATAAAATAATCGAAACTTGAATTTCTTCAACCTGTAGGTTTGATCACTTGCAGTCCTCACTGGCACTGCACCAGACAAAAGATAAGAAATTTTCATATCAAAATACCAACTAGTTTTCAAAAGAGGAATTGGTCAGAAATAATCAAGTATCAGTTGATAATAAAATGCACAACGTGAAGCTGAATTGAATGAAAAATTAATTCAATATTAAAGAAATTGGGTCTGGATAGAGCTAGAACCGTCAATATTAATGAAGTTGCAAAAAGGACTGAGCATTTCAATGAGTGAGATTCCATTTTTCTGACATGATTCTTCTACGAAATGGGTGCCAATGACCATGACAGCAGGCGTGATCTCATCCAATAGCATTCGCCCCAGCGTTGTGTCCGCCGGATCCGCCATCGTCTCTGATGAGTGGTTCGATGACTCTCGCGCCCTCACCTGTGTGTACTCCTCGCACCTGCAGGCGGGGGATTTCAGTTGGTCTGTAATGGAGTTCTGCCCAGATCACAATCAAAGTTTTTCTTCCATTTTCTTGCTTCCCTTTTACTCTTTCTCATTAATCTATAATTCCAATCTAATTTATCACATTTTTATGTTTTCAGAACCGGGCCGATGACCGAGCTACTCGTTCACTGATTCATAGTCGAATTAGTGGTATAATTGATCGAATTAGTGGATAGTGTTCCTCTCGTTAGTGCAAGGAACGGTGCTAGACTATGTCATTCTTGCTTGGTAAGGATTACACGAGTAACTCCCCTATTTGATTGGCTACACGTTAGCTTCAACTCGCCATGTTTCAATCTTACTTTGATTGTCGTCTTGCCTAGATCATTAAGCCCTGCCAATATACAGTGGGGCTAGCAAAATAATTCAAGTGCTGACTTGGTTCAGTATTGAGCAGTTGGGAAACATATAACATGTTGATCGGGAAATTATTTCTTTCTTTCAACGGAGGTGAATTTTAAAGCTTGGCCAAGCTACTCCGACTGGCAACCTTCATCATCCTAGGTTATCCTTCTAAATTGGTCTTTTAATTCGTTGCCTCTTTCACCCGGGTGAGCAAGGGCGCCAGTCCTCCAAGTGGCCAAGCTCATCCATTCTTGTGATCTCATTCTTTTGGTCATACCTCCCCTCGGAAGCACGGGTTGGTCTAGGCTAGGTAACTCTTCCCCTTCCTTTCAAACCTGGCCTCTTCTTCAAAATTAGCATTTCAAAGGTGATGCCGGACATGCAAGCGGGAAAGGTATTCTTGGAGAAGTCATCCGAGTGTAAAGTAAATGAATCAATTGCGACGAGTCATTCACCCAACGATATTGGCATGAACTAGACAGATGCAACACGAACAAATCTTAGAAAGCTCCCGAGTACAATAGTTCTGAATCTTTGATCGGGTGGGCAGTTTTGGTTCTCCTTGACAACCTCCCATGTAGGGTGGTGGACCCGGCAAAAAGCCTTCTACAAAAGATATCAAAGATCGGGGTAGGCCCGACGTTCCGGTCTGACCGGGATCCCCTTTTTTGCTGAAACCGTGTACCTAATTTTATTGGGCTTAGGCTCATTGGAAAATATGTGCAAGACCGATGTGAGACCAGTGTACCAGTTCGACTAGGTCACATATTTTCATCATTTTTTTATTTATATTGCGCAAGACCGGTGTGACCAGTGCACCAGTTTGACTGGGTTATAGTCTTTTTTAATATGTGCAAGACCTGTGTGAGACCAGCGTACTAGGATGGGCTCGTGTCACATATTTTTCTTTTTTTATTATACTGAGCAAGACTGATATAGTAACCAGCGTACTAGGCCGGGCCTGTGTCACAGTCTTCCATTCGAGCTTGTTGAAGGTGAATGTGTGTTCGGCGTATCCAGTTTGATCGGTCAAGTTGTCCACCTTGCCAGTTCTCATCCTGTGACTAGGTCAAGTTGTTTTTTATGCTCTCGCCTTCCCACAAAGCTCGAGCCATGCTTCAGAGGCATCTACACTTTTTTGTATCGTGTTAATTCGTCTTGTGGTAAGTACAATACCTTTCTGCTTGGGACCACTCTTAACCTTCCTTTTCGAGAGTTTAGATTTCATATCACTTCTCATCCCGAACCTCATTTATGATAGAGTCGCAAGGAGGTCGGGGGTCGCTCGAACCATCTTGATTGCCTCCATCACACTTTAGCGTGGGCTTATTTTTTGAGTGGGCTAACTCAGTTTCTTTCTTTGCCCGATATTGTTCATCTGCTTCAGCATATTCCCAAGCAATTTTGTAGGCCTCCTGGTATGTGCTAGGAGGTCTCCTGCAAAATTCGTTGTACAACTCCCTGACCCTGAGGTTAAGTAGGAGTGACAATTCCAACATCATCTTGTGTTCCATATCTTCCATCTGGTCAACTTTTTCCATCCACCCCGTTAAGAATTGGGTGAGGTTCTCTGACTCCGTCTGCCCGGCAGTGCTCGGGTATGTAAGCTTCTTTCTCTTCGTGGAGTTTTCTTAGAACTTAGCCTTGAACTTTGCAGCCAATTCATTGAAGGGATCAATCTCACACGGTGGGAGCTTGTTGGACCACTCCACCGTCCGACCATGCAATGTGTGGAAGAAGAGAAGACACTCTTCCTCATGGGTGCATCCTATCATCTTGGATTTGATGGCAGGAATTGAGGTGTATCTCGAGATCTTCCTTCCTCCGGTCTTAAAAACCTTTTTTGTTTTGTCTTTTTAAGTCCAAAGTAATACTCTTTGACTGCAAATTATGAAAAAATACATTCAATTATACTATAAATTTAATATAATTAAATTCACCTTATGATAAGATATTGTTTTGATATATCAAATTTTTATATCATTTATCTATTTAGATTATATTTAATTTTATAGTTAAAGAGTAGTGTTACAAAAAAAATAAAAAAATTAAAGGAGATACGAGTAGAATATTGTTACACAAACTAATAGTCTAATAGATTGCCCCTTTATGCATTTTGCAGCCATAGAGTGAGATGAACCCTTCTGCTCCTCCCTTCCAGCCGCCTCCCGCCGGCGGCTTTCCTCTTCTGCCGCCAGCACTGCCTTCCTCTACTGGATTTCTCCCGCCGCCGGGAACCACCAATTCCGCGCCTCGCCCTCTGTTCCCTCCCGGCTTTCACTTCCCTCCCCCAACCACCACAACAACCGCCGAGGCATCTGATATCCCCACTGCTCTCTCCGCCCTCACTTCGCTTCTGCTCCTATCTCAAAACTCTCTCGATTCACTCTCCGGTATTCTTCCGACGGCTTCTCCCTCTCCCACTGCTCTTATCCCTTGTCCTTTCAACCCCACTCACCGCCTCCCCCCTCCCTCTCTGTTCAACCACAGCCTCCACTGCATTCCTTCCTCATCATCTGCTGAATTGGATTCTCTAATCCAGTATTGTAGCTACCCTCACAACCTCCACTCATCTGCAGAGGGAAAGGATATCCTTTTCAATCAGTCCCTCAATGACCCCGAAGTAGAACTATGCTTCTCTCTGGAAAGCTACTCCGGTTTTGATCGGAATGGTTTCTTATACTCGGATTGTCCTGAAGTTGTAAGCTTCCCTCTTAAGGACCCCTCCCCTCCAATGCTTACTTTGCCTAGTTTCTTATTGTCCCAGTGTTCGAATTTCATTAGAAATAGTAATGTTGATCCAAAAGAGTTTCCTGTTGGCTGTATAGAGCTTCTTCCTTCTGAGATATATTCCATTAGGGTTGAAGTTGAGTCCTGGAATGATTATCCGTGCAGCTATTCTTACAGAGTTCTCCGGGCTATGCTTCGGCTAGAAACAAGCAGGATCTGCTCTTTGCCGACATGGGTGATTGCCAATTCACCTAAATTTGGTATTGTTATTGATTCTGCAATGAGCAGTCATATAGTTCTTTTGTTTAAGCTGTGTTTGAAAGCTATGACTAGCGAAGCTATTGGGTTAGTTAATGCACATTTGAAACTAGAGGGAAATAAGGAATCCGTTTCGAGTGAATATACGTATGAATGCCCAATCTTAGCTAGAGTATTGATGTGGTTAGCCTCTCAACTGTCAATATTGTATGGTGAAACTAGTGGTAAGTTATTTGCAATTAACATTCTAAGACAATGCATCTTGGATGATGCATTGAAGGACTCTTTGTTTACTGGACTTCAACAAGCTACACAATTGCCTAAATTTAAAGATGTAGACACAGTTAGTGAGGAACCAGTTATAGGTAGTAAGCCATCTGGAAGTAGAAAAGAAAACAAGGGGAGCGGTGTAGAATCTGGAACACTCAGCAAAAGCATGGTTTCTGTTTCTCAAGTAGCAGCGGCAGTTGCTGCATTGCACGAAAGATCAATGCTTGAAGAGAAGATCAGAGCACTGCAGAATGTGCGTCAACTTTCTGCACCCCAAAGGTATATTCACATTCTGATTTATATATTATAGATTACAGAATTGTTGTTTTTTTTCCGCTTCTGTGGCATTATGCATTAGAATTTGTGCATGCAAATGATGTAGCTTGCTCATCGAACACATCCAGATATCCTTAGACATTTAGATGGCTGAACTTCATTTTTGGCATGTTTGGTAGACAAAAGTATATTATGAAGAATGAGGGGAATAAGTAGTAGTTAACTAATTTTGATAATATAGATTTTACCAACTGTTTTTCCTTTCAGAAAATTCAGGAAATTCAACCATTCAGATTAATTACCAATGCCAAAAAGGCTCTAATTATTGATCCAGAATAGCAAAAGAAAATCAGACGCGGTCTCTGTTTTTTCCCTTAGAGCATTGAAAAGAAGAAGAATGATTTCTAGAATCTAAGTAGCTTCAAGTAGCTTCTCTTTTAGTTAAAATGCAACAAGAATAATGATTCTTAACATTAGATATTGAACTACTCCGTATCATTTTCCTATGGTCTGCTACTCAGAGAGCTAAACCTTTTGAATCCGTGCAAGGAACTAACATGTGATCAAATGATCTTTTAGAAATGCTGAACACGAATATAGGAAAAAGAGTGCTGATGAGGAAAGGCAGAAACGGCCCAGCTATAAAGCTTTAATGGATCATGATGGGCTTCATTGGCAGCGGTCACATAACCAGGTAAGCTATATTGAAAATTAGACTATTACATATTGAAAACATCTTTAACTATCTGTTGAGTTAAAGGCTGTCAGTGTCTGCTATTATACCTACTTATATAAGGGTGTACGTAGTCTCCAAAACTATTACATTAACTATGGATACATTAACTGGCTATCACTAAGAATTATCCAAACAATCGAACTAATGTAGTAAGAATGTTAGTATATGTCTATCATTAATAAAACTTTGTCCAAATTGTCTGTCTGAAATATAGTTCTAATTAATCTCAATGTTTTTGTTGCCCCAAAGGCAGTGTCTCTCCATCTTTCATAGACTATTCAAAGTGACACTGCAATTTTATATTCCTTCTAAAGCTCCACTGTTGAGTGTCAACCTAACACGTTCTATGATAATAACTCAGCTCAATGCACATTAGAGAATATTAAGTAATTAGATTAGTTTGTAATGTTGTATTTTTCTTGCGGAGTTTATCTCTTGATTTTATGTTAACTGCACCATCCCCGCCAAAAGAAATTATTTCGAGGCTCTGTTGTAGTATAGAAAAATTTATTTCTAATTTCATCCTACTCTCTTTATTATCAGGAAACAAATAAAATGAAGACAAGGGAGGAATTGTTAGCTGAGGAAAGGGATTATAAGCGCAGAAGGATGTCATATCGAGGCAAGAAGTTGAAGCGATCAATAACCCAGGTGACATTTGATTTTACACCATTTGTCTTGTTATTGTTCTTGACAAAGGGAGTTCAGAATCTCACTCCAAAGTTGACTTGGCCTCTGAACTTAGACTAAGATGCTGAACTTCATATTGTTTGTGCATCTTACAGCCCATTTGGTAAGGCCTAAAAACATAAAAGGCTAAAGTGCTGAGTGAAGTTGCTGAAACTGCCGAAATTACTCAAGTTGTGCCAAAAATGGCTGACTATGCTGATTTTATAAATATATACTCCCCGCGTCCAAAACTTCCCACGTAAAAAAGGCACAGGTTTTTGGGGCAGGTTTAAAAGTGTTGTTTATTTAAAAAATGACTACCCCCTTTGTTTTTAAAAACCTTGCACAGTTTGACCAGCACATAGTTTAAGAGTGGGTTAAAGTAGAGCGTGAATGTGTGTAAAGTTATTTAATGTGGAGAGAAAAAGGTTTGGTAAGAGGAGATAGGATGGTGGAATGCGAGTAAATGAATTGAGTGGAGCTGTGAAATGCAATGTGATAGTGAGCCATGATGAAATGGAGTAGATGAATATAATGCAGTAAAACATTGAGTGGATCCTTGCTAAAAAGGGAGAATGTGCAAAGTATTTAGGAATAGAAGTATTTGACAAGACATAAAGTAGAATTTATGTGGGTAGTTGAGGGGTGTAAGTGTGTAACTGTGTGTTTTCAATGATTTAAAATTTTGAATTGAGTAATGCTAGGGGTACACTAGATGGTGTACCCCATTTGTACAACATTCTTCCTCACCATACATTTTTTATATATTTATTAATTTTTTTATATCAACACTTAATTGTGTGGTGGATAGGCTTTGGGGTACATTTGGCGTACACATTTTGGTGTACTCCTAGCATTTTTTGTTTAAGATTCCCAAAGAAGGGTATGGGTAGATTATTTTGGGGCATCCCAATATGTTAAGTTGAAAGATAATTTTGGGGCGGAGAGAGTATATTCAAATTAATAAAGAGAATAATATCTAAAATAAAGCTAAAAGTTGCTTTCATCTGTTGTAGCGGGAAAAGTAGCTCCAGTGATACTTTTTCATTAGCAGCCTATTCAGCTAATAACTTTTTTTTCATTAGCAGCCTATTCAGCCGTGCAATGATAATAGCTAGTGTTAGTTGGAAAAAACTTGCTAATGAGGATAATAAACCGAAGCCCACTAACGTGCTCTATTCTCATGAGATCTTTTTTTGGCATATCCAACTGTTAGGTGATGAGGGATGTAATAGAGGAATACATGGAGATTATTAAGCAAACTGGGGGAGTGGAAAACTTAACAAAAGGAGAAGAAACATACAATGATGCAAAGTCCAATAAGAGTCAATTGGAATCATCTTTAACAAAGGAACATACACATCAGTACACGAAAGACTCACATTCTCTTCGGGAAGCCCAATCATCAGACTTCAGAGATGGGTCTTCAAAAGAGAAAACTCAAGATAGATGTAACTACTCTCAAATCACTGTGGATGCAGATAGAAGTGCTGGGAGAAATCGGCTTAGCAGGCTGGATTGTTCTAGAAGCCCAGATAGAAGCACTAATATAAGCAAACACACAGGTTTGAGAAGGAGACAAGGTGATCGAGAAGCACATGAAGAAGGTTTTCATCACAGTTCCAGTAGAAAACACCAGAAATCATATGATAGGAGTATTCACAAAGAGCGAGTTGACCATAGAAGACGGAGGAAAACGGAAGCATACAATGATCATACTTCAGTTTCTACACCGCGCAATGAGTTTGATGACAGATATGATCCTTCAGAATCTCGTGATAGTCTATGAAGACAAAATCCAACTGTCATGGTAAACTGAGTAGCTCAGATCCTTTGCTGTTATGATTGGGCATGGTTTCCACAAATGGTTATGATTATGGCTGTTAGACATAAGGATTTTTCTTGCTGTGGTAACTGGTAAGTAATCGTCATGAAAATGATCTTGAGTGCCACTTTTTGTCGATCTTTTTTCAGAATAGGGAAAAAAAAACTAATATCAACTTCTCTTTGGCCGGGTTTCTCTTGAGAACTTGCAGTAGAAGTGAAACAGGTCTCTGCAGTTTGTCTACATCTGTATCCTCCTCTGTATCCTTTTAATGTTTATTTGAGAAGTAATAACTCTATTACAACGTACTATCTGTTCATACATACTTTCTCAACATATCTAAGCACATAGAATTGTTTTTTAGTTAAATACATAGAGTTACTTCCTCCACTGAGGTTCGAACTCGTGACCTCCCATTTGGGAAAGCAATGTTCATGCCGCTGGACCACAAGGTCTTTGGCTATTATTATTACTAATTTTATAATTATTGTTGTTGTTATTATTATTAATATTATTGTTGTTGTTGTTGTCGTCGTATGTTTCTTTCTACCATTACTTTCTCTGCTTAAAAAGAAGGCTTGAATCATTTCTTAATGGTTTTCACTTGCTTTTACTGATTTAGAATCTGTTACTGCATAGTTTCACATGGGAAGCATTGTGCATTTTATTTCCAGGGAGTCCTACTTGATTCAAGACATCATAAAGATCACACCACTGGTTTGGGTGTTCTACAACCTTTAACTTTTAGCAATGACTTGTATGATATGTTCCACAAGAATGTGTTTAGTTGTGGATAACCCACTTGGGATTCATACTCACCAGCTGACTTGTTGAATGGGATTATTGACTCTTAAATGTGCACTTTTAGTACGGGCAATTTAGTTGGTTCCTGGCTAGAAGAATGTATGCACTGAATGTTGATGCATCATTGTGTTCTCTTGAGAACCAGATACTACTCTCACAGTCCCACTTACTCCCCGGGATTGTACATCAGGGGACGATGGCCAAGCAATGGCTGAGCACCTTCACGGCTTCACCTCGGGAGAAAGGGTGGTGAGAGTAGAGTCCCTATAAAAGGGAAAAGACTGTAGTAGAGGATGATATGGCCAAATAGCACTAGTACCTTTCGCGGTTGGAAAAATAGAAACTAATATCTTCTCTATTTTCAAAACTTATTTCTTAAGTCTTCGTGTTTTTAAAGCGTTGCACCCGTAATGATCATTTTCCGGCAATTTTTCCAGCGAAAAGGAAGCATTGGCGCTTATTTTCCAAACTATAGGGGGCACTGATGCTCATTTCTTTTCTTCGTTTAGTTTTTTTCCCCTCTTTTATTGTTTCTTTCATTAATCAAGGTTTTTTAAAATTCTTTTTAAAATTGTTTTTATCATGTTCTTAAAACTTAAAATTATTTAATTTTTTTTAAAAAATAATAATAAACATATATTGCATTTGTACGTCTCAAATTAATGATTTTTTTTTTGTTTTTCCATAACAAAAAAACTTTTTTTGAGAACTTCAAAAAAAAAACAAAAATGAATATCTCTTTTGGACATCCCAATTCTAAGGGCATTTTTAGGTGTTTTGAAAATTAACTTTTATATAACTCTTTTTTACACGTTTCAATTTTTTTCATTTCATTTTCCATATTTTTATCTTATCAAAAAAATTATTCTAGAAAACAAAAAGCAATTTTTTTTTAAAATTTGAAATAGATGAAGTATATGTTAATTTTTTTTATTTATATTTCACAAATAATTTTGAATTTTTTAAAGCATTATAAAAACCCCAAGGTTCAAGTGACATTGGAGGGCAATGTCATGGGAAGACCTGGGGGTGCCCTCCCGTTCGTAAAATTGACGGTTCCTACCCCTCCTAACCTCCACGGTAAACCCTCCCACCCGGCCCCGACCCAAACACCCCCCCCCACCCCCTTCAATTGCACCCCCATGACATTGCCCTTCAATGTCACTTGAACTTTCCCCTTATAAAAATGGAAATGAATTTTAAAAACTATTCCTATTTAAATGAAACGAAGAGATAAAGAAAGTTAAAAAAGGAAAAAATCTAAATAATAAATGTAAAGTAAGAAATGAAATTAGTGTCCCCTATGATATAAAAAATAGGTACAAATGCCTCTTCTTCGTCGAAAAATGAGTGGAAAATGATTAGAGGAGTGCAGGTGCAATGTTTTGAAATCACAGAGACTTTAGAAATAAATTTTGAAAATAGAAGAGGTTTGGTAACAATTTTCCAAAGCATATGAGGCACTGAAGCTATTTGTCCTGAAAGATATCTTGTAACCGAGCGAGATTGTGCACATAAAGAAAATAATAAAAGAATATTTTGAGTTAGGCCATGCTCTCTTTGACACATCTTAATAGTTCTGATCCGACTGGAGTAAGTTCTGATCTGATTGATTATAGTTATATTCAAAGCTATTTCTAATTTGATATGGTTTGATCTGATTCCAATAAGATCAAGTAATACGTAGTAAGTAATAAGAATAAGCTAAGTAAACATGGTCTTAGTTCTCATCTTTGGGAATGGAGAGGTACTAGAGAGGAAGGTATGGTTGTGCTTCCTTCATTTCCAAATAAACTAGATGGTTTGACTTCATGGAATTAAGAAAAATGTTACTCCATCTCAAATTGGTGAAAAGTGGAAAGTTTGTAATTGAAATTTAATCAAAAATATACTCCGTATAATTTATCTCGAGACAAAAAAGTATAATTTAATTTACTTTGTATTCTCTCTGTCTCATTTTAAGTTGTTTGTTGTTTACGATGTTTGGTCGAAGTTTTAAAAATAATTTTATATGAAAATTGGGTAGAATTCTTAAAAAATTATACATTTAAAACTACTCCAAGTTTTACTCCATCTGTCCTAATTTAAATGACTTGTTTCAGATTACATTGTTTGATTGTAAATATTTTCAATATAATTTATTTGAGAATTATTGTGAAATTTTAAAAATAAAATTTATATAGTTAAAAACCACATCAAAAATTCTAGAAAACATGAGGTGACATAACCATTTTGATCAAATAAGTAGTGAAAAAAGTGAATGAAGTTTGACAATGTGAATAACAAACTTATCATTTATATATATATTTTTACCTATTTTTATTACTTATTTTATAAACATATGCACTTACTGTCATAAATCATTAACATTCTTCCATTGTTAAGGTATTGGGAAATAAGATTTGCGGTTATTTCATTTGGTTCATGTGGTTTGTTAGACTTAGCTCAATGCTCTTAATCTGATTAGGTCTAAAAAGTTTACACTGTCACACATGACTACAATACAATACCACATGCCTATAGTACTGATCACACGTCCACAGTTGCATGACTATCTAATTGTTGTAGGCTATTTGGGGGATTCGACTCGTATTTAATAGGAAAATGCTAGGATGCCACCACATGGGTGCACCCATGGTAGCACCTATGTGGTGGCACCCTAGCATGGTCCTATTTAATAACCCTCCTTGAATTTAGAATATAAAGGGTTTCAAACTGGAACAATAAGAACATGAGGGACAAAGAACCAGACCGGAATGGCCATTGGAGGGGAACGAGGGACATTCACGGTTCTAATAGCTCTAAATAAAAAATATTCTACCTATACTTTTTTAAGGCCGATTCATATTTTTTTTCCTTGAATGAATAAATAAATTAGTGGTGCAGGTCATTAATCATTATTCCAAAAAATAAAATAAAAAAACCAAAACGAAACTGCCCGTAGAACTTACATATGTTGTAAACCATCTCTATCTCTACCTTGCTAGAACCAAAATATAGGTTTTATCTCTAAAACAGGATTATTTTAACATATTTTCATCACCAAATAAAACTATTGCGCTGCGACAATGTATAAAATTTTGACACGGTATATTAGTATTTCATAATGTTTTTTGGAATCATATGTTGGTATTATAAATTTTATTTTGAAGAAAAAAAACATAAAAGTGTGAGTTTGTTCTCCTTGCTCTATTTTAGTCCTATTTCGGTCTTGTATAAAATTTGATATGAGTACATAGTAGCATCATCCTTAACAGCTAATACATGATACATATAACACACTAATAAGAACTCTTGAAGCATGTGGCTACCACATTACCCAGATGTAAAGCTTCCATTTCCTCTTTTTGCCTTGCAACAATACTAAATCAGCTCAAAGCAAATATATATGACAATGGAGCAAAAAGATCCTTCTTCACCTATCAACAAGCTATGCAAAACAAGTAAAAGAACCTTCTTCACCAAATGTATTTCTTTTGCATCATACACACCAATGTGGCTATGCACTTATTTTATAGTATTTGAACAAAACAATGAGCATAATGACAATAAGATAGCCAATAAGTTGGAATGTAGAGTGGAACCTATATCCTTGCAACCAGTTCTTGTGGCTGATGGAAGTGCACTAAAGTGTTAACACATGTGCAGAAATTTCAAATGGAGGTTACAAGAAACTGACTTCTGCACTGACATGTTTTTGATACCCTTGGGCAGCTGTGATATGGGTGTACAGCGGTTGAGCACCTTGGGAACTATTAATTTGAATTTCAAGGAGTTGCAGATGGAGTTCCATTTCAAGGGAAAGGGCCACATTTTAAGTGGACTCTAAGGTCCTAAGGTCATGATTTTGGAAGGGCCACATATATCTAAGGTAATAAAATAAGCTTGTCATCTGTGTATGTTACAGGCTCTAACCACAATAAGAGAAAAACAACGAGGATCTTGGTGATTGGTTGTGCTTAGATAATAGCTAAAGCTTCCAAAATCACTCATTTCATGATAAATCAATTGTTAAAGGAGTATGAGGATTTGTTCAAGGAGCCAACTAGGTTTCCCCCTGTGAGAGGTACCTTTGATCATAGAATACCTCTAAAACAAGATGTTGTTACTTGTTACCATAAACATTAGAACTTACAAATATGCTCTCAAGGAAAAAGATGTGATTGAAAAACTGATCAAAGAAATGTTGGATAAGGGAATAATCTAGCATAGCCACAGTCCATTTGCTTTTCCGGTGGTCTTGGTGGGAAAAGGGATGGAACATGGAGATTGTGTGTAGATTATTGGGAACTTAACAAGCAGACCATTACAAACAAGTTTTCTATTCCATTGGTTGAAGAGTTAATAGATGAATTGACAGGGGCCAAAATGTTCAGTAAAATTGACTTGAGGGCTCGTTATTACAGATTAGAATGGCTGAAGAAGACATGTTCAAGACTGCATTTAAAACAAATTCTGGACACTATGAATTCTTAGTAATGCTATTTGGCCTTACTAATGTGCCAGCTACTCTCCAAAGTCTCATGAACCAGCTTTTCAAACCATTATCGAGGAAATTTGTTCTGGTTTTCTTTGATGACATATTGGTCTGCAACAATTCCTTGGAAGCTCACATGAGACAGTTACGGAGTGTCTTTGATATTATGAGGACCAACAGTTTGGTCGCCAAGATGTCTAAATGTGACTATGGAATATTGGAATTGATAAAGTGAAATATTTGGGGCACTTCATATACGGAAAGGGCATTGCCACTGATTCTAGAAAAAAAAGGCGATACAGGATTGGCCTCAGCCTACTAACATCAAGGAGTTAAGAAGTTTCTGGGGATTGGCAGGGTATTACAGGAGATTTGTAAAGAATTATGCATTGCTTGCTAAGCCCTTGACACAAGACACAACTATTAAATAAGGGGAACTTCAAGTGGACCACTGAAGCTACACAGGCGGTGGAGGAATTAAAAATAGCCCTCACTAGTGCACCAGTCTTGGGTCTCCCTAATTTGGCTAAAACATTTGTGGTGGAAAGTCATGCTTCCACTTAT